CAGCAGGAAGCATTTTAAGTAATTCTCTTGTAATGCTCTTCAGCATTAGTCTACACCATATAGAATTTACTTCAAATTATGCATTTTATGCATTTAAGAGTTATGCAGAAAACTTGCTTTATTCTAAGGTCTCAAGATCCATGCAACCCTGGGCAGTGACAAGACTCATTTTTGGAGGGCTGAGTAAGGAAAGAAAGAACAAGATAGGTATATGGTAACACTTTCCCTGCTGGTCTTGTTTTTTAACAAAATGTGATGCAGGACACCAGAGGCAGGAGCTGTATGTTTGTATTTTAATAGGTTTTGAAAACGTTTTTTTCTCTTTCATATACTTATTTAAACATCTATTAAAACTATCTCAACTTCTAAGTTTGTGAAAAAGCATTTTTTTGAGGCTTTTCCCTCATTTTCAGTTAATAATGCCTCTTCCAAATTTGTCAGGGCAATCAGCAGACATGCCTACTTTGGACATTCTCCCCACCAATAGCTTATTGACTACATCTCTACCTCCTCATAAAAGGTACACTGGTTCCCTTAATCATCAAGAAATAACAATGCCAGGCCACCTGTTAACTTGCCATTGCTGGATTTTGCTCTGTTAAGAAGTTAAGACTTCCAGACATTTCTGGTCACAAGAGACAGCAATTTCAAAAGAATAAGCATACTGTTGCTTTAAAACCCCATTAAGTCATGCATATTTTAAAATTAAGAATTCATAAAACAACAAATATTTTATTCACAACTTGGGGGGGAAGCTTTTTTCAACATTCTGTGGAAAATTCAACAAGAAAAAATGCTTCCCAACACCATTAATAGCACACCTAGGATTTCTAATCCTGAAAACAAACATCTCTATTCTAAATAGTGCCAGATTGCTCCATATGTTTTATGCTCGTCTGCATCTGTCCCGTTGCATCATTTTACTCTCTTGATGAAGTGCATGCATCAATAAAAATACCAGTTACAGTGCAACAAAGACAACAAATACAGACTTAAGAGTAATACTGTTAACAATCTCAATAAATAACACACAATATCGAAACCATTCTTATGTAAAGAACCCTTTTTGACAACAAGGAAACCAAAGATCAACACTGAAGACTAATCTTGCATGCAAAGCAATCAGTAAAAATTTAAAAACTTTTGCTCTATTTTTGTAGTGTTAGAATTATTGAAATTGGCATGACTCAACTTATAAAATACTTTTAGGAGAAACACAACCTTTGTTTTGAACAGTTTCTTTATCTGACATAAGAATTCAATTATTGAATTAAAATACAAAGTGAAGGACTAGGTCACTACTCAATCAGTTCAACAGACAACAAACAAAATTCCCATTCTTTCCCAAGGTAGGTCCTAACCTTGCACAAGTACATGCACAACCTTAATTCTCTGCTCTGTCATACTTCTGACACCTTTCAATGAGACTAATTAAAGTAAGTTAAATATGGTAAGAGTCTTCACAGCATTGGAGCCTTACATCCCCCACTTACTTTGCATGCACACCATACTAATTCAACAGGGGTTTTGGATCCTTGATTTGTTGCACTTAGGAAACTACTATCACAGTAAAAGATCAAAGTTGCAAGCAAAACATCCAGAAAAGGACATGTAAATAGCTTAGAGTTGGAAAGGAAGTAAAAGCTATTCAATAAGACATGACAGGCTAGCTAAGAATACCCAAGAAAGAATATAAGCACTAGGAAAACATTCAAGGACAACATGCTTGTTAGAAGCAAGATCTACAGTTTCTCATTTTTTCCTTCTCCTTCCCTGCCCGTCCACCCACTCCACCTCTCCCCTCATTATTCCACATGCAAGGCCATAAAGCTTGACTAAGAGGCAGTTCTGGAAAATTTCTTCCAAGCTCAATTCATTTTTGCTGTTGTACCTGGGCAAATCATCCATGACAAAAAATGATCTATTTTCTCTTATGCCTGACAGACTTTTTGTCCACAAAACAGATCTCTAATATTATATTTTACATCTGGCTGAAGATCACCTAACTATGCACATACTTTCCCTTTTAGTTGTAACTTTTTGCCTGTCGCTCCCATTCAGCATGCACTAAGTTGTGTTTTTTTTTAAACAAGATTAGGTTTTCATACAATACATGAATACAACTGGGAAGATTTATTTTAGTTTATAAAGAGCAGTGAAGCAACAACCTCCACCTTTTGAATTCTGACCCCCATTAGCACTAGGCTCTTGCAGAATTTAACCTATCAGGTTGGTAAAGAGACCACATACATGCTATGCTGGTAACACCATTGTCAATTAATGACTGGGACAGTAAATTTCAAAGTTTTCATCCTGCCTAAAATAAGCTGTATTCCAACATAAGTGACCAGAAATTAAGAGAAAGAAATGATGATCTGATTTCCTTCTAATAAAAGAAAAGTCAGATCATACTGGGTAAACTACAACTTGTTAAAATGCCAAAACCAAGTAATTGAAAAGGATGAATGCCCTGATCAAAGGCTTCCCCAACTCAGACCTTCGAAAGGGAAGAATTAGCTGCTCTCTTCTCTATACCCCCTTGCCCGCAAACTGGAGTACTGTTTTCTTACTTGGGTATGTCTACAAAGGAAAAAGGGGGCTATTATTTAGGAATTTGGAATTCCCAGTAAAAAGACATTTAATAGTCTTTCAAAATAAGTCAGCATAGCTGGCAGGGTTTTATCCAGACCTGAGTGGTGCTCAAAGATGTTGGCTTCAATTTTATCTTACATAAGGGAATGTGAATGATGAGTTCAAAACACATGCCAAGGGCTCATTCATCCTGAATTAGATTTGACAGGGCTCGCATTGACTATACAGTTGACACAGATAACACACAAAAATGTTTGAAATGATAACAAGCATTTAATATGCTGAGTTAGAAAAACAAGAGTTTCTGCAACAAAATATCACACGTACGTGATCTCATAGCTTGGAGAGCCCTGATGTTTACTTAGCAGTTTTACTGTATTACTGCATGTGCTTGCCTGGTAACACAAAGTATGGATAGTCCTTTTGCATACAGCTGATGCTTCTAACCATCTAGCCTGCATAGCTGAAACATACACCATACCTGTGGCTTGATTATATTTAGGAAATATGAAGACATATTTCAGGCAGTGCTTGCTTCCTTTAAATTGGCCATCACTTAAGTTTTTTTGTTGTAAAATCTCACTCTTTTCCACTTACAGAATACTTGGCTCCCAATTCTCCTTACAGGCTCTTAAGAGCAAACAAAATTGTGAACCATTGGGATCTAGAAATGGTTGCACACTTAAAATAAATGCACTGAGAAACCACTCTAAAGTGTAGTGGGTTCTACACTAACATACAAGCCAAAAGTTAACTTGTGCTAAAAACAAATAAAGTTATTCTCTGAACACATGCATGCATGCACATGCAATACAGACTTCAGATATTCCTAACCGACTGCTTGATGTTTCCATGACCTTTTATTTATTTCCAGTTGTGGGATGCACATACCAATCAACTCCCAACTCAGATGGATTTATCAGAGTTCCATATCTAGTATCACCAATAAACACACACTTAAAAATTAGCTATTACATCTAGGTTCACAGATTTGAAAATACCTAATTAACCATACCCTTCCAAACTGAAGAGGCAAGGAATACATCCTTCCTAATACTGTTTCGTGTATCATGATACCTTAGTCAATTAAGTCAGCAAATAAAATACGTAAGACTACAAACAGTGAATCTTAATGCATTCTGAGGTAACGATTACCTTTGGATTAAAATATCTGCAGGACTGGGGCTGTGAGCCTCCAAACAAAGCAATGCGATAATCATGTTTTTTTCTTCTTGGCCGTGTACCTTCCACTAACTCTTCTCTGTCTTCTGGGGAAAGCAGATGGTATCGCATCCCACCTGGAAGGAAGGCAACAACTGTTGCAGATCCAGTGCAGCTCATACACTGAAAAGGATGTTTCAGAGTCAGGGACAGAGGGAGAGGGAAGAGTGGAAAAAGGGGGAAACCAAGTTTCTACATTACACCTACACAGCTTTGATTTAAAAGGGAAGAACACATGACAGCACCTAAAGAGGGGAGCATACATCCAGATTTACACCCTGTTTCAAATTGCCTGCTTCGTGTAAAAACAGGACATGGATATGGAACTCATGTTATACATCAATTTATTGATTAGATCATTTAGCCAATACTACCAAGCAACTAAGTATGTTGCATTGAAACAGGCAGAAGGAAGCAATCCCCAGAAAAGGGAACAGCAGAACTGGGAGCCTAAAGAGGACAATAATATTAAAAGAAGGAACTTGAATGCAATGAGGAGTCAAATCACGCCTGCCTCCTCACCCTCCAATTTCTGATTAATAAGGAATGCATCTCTATCTTACCATACATCATGAAAACTCCTCACTATTGTTCTTTGCTTGATAATGCAAAATATTAGTTACTACTGGTATAAGAATATAAACATTATCTTAAAAATTCCAAAGAATGCCAGAAATACTAATGACATTACAAACTCCTAAAACCAGGCAAACAACACCCCCAACTGCATGTCACACAAGAAATACGACAGATGTTGATGGTCAGAAAACACTTACCAACATATAGGTTAATCTTATTCTTGCTCATTGACTGAAGGAAAACAGTTGCATTCTATTTTTCAGATCTATACTAAAATGAAGCCAACTAGATAACCATAACCAAAATTAAAATATTGCCCTTCATAATATTTATCAACATCTTTGCTTTTGTTTCTGAAATGATAAAATTTCAGTGTCTAAATCAAATGAGGAGCCTGTTTCTCATCTCATTTGCACCTTGAGAATGCAAATGCCTGTAGGCTCAACGGTTAGTATATATTAAAGATTAAAATAGTGCAACATATGCTTAACATTCTAATTAACCTAGGGAAGCTTTGTAGTATTTCAAATTTTGACCAAATATTTATTTTATTAAGTCACATATGAATATGAACAACACTGAAGTTGCTAGCCTCTCCCAAAGGGACACAAAGACTTCCAATTACCCTAAAGACTCATCGACTAAATTTCCATTCCCTAACTCATCATGGAGTTCATGTCACTTGCTAGCAGAAAAGAAATGAAAGTCACACTGTTACATAAAATAGCTTTTATTTACATGATCATCTGCTAATCCAACTCAACTAGTTGCAGCATTTTAGAAGGACCACAGTCAGATGAATTCAAGTTCAAAAGACAGTCAGAACATTTAAAGCAAACGACTCTCAAAAATTCCACAGCATTTTTAAAATTAAACAGAACATTAAAGATTTCAGTTAGAGGTCAACTTACTGATCACCATTTTAAGGCATTCTGGGTTATCCTGAATAAGTGGTTCAGCCTGAACTGTTTTACTTAAGAAGTTCTTTGATATAAGAGGAAATCTGACTTTAGCAAGAATATCAACCATGTACGGCTGGCGATTTGGCTCATCATACTTCAGCCATCTGACTGCTGCATCATAAACCTTAAACAAGACAGAAGGGAAGAAAAGGATAAGTTTCCTCACCATGCAGTAATAAACAGAACGTTAATGCTCCAAATTGAGTATTTTGCCTATTGAAGGCTAACTTATACTCTACTAAGTTTAGTATGTGAGGATCCATCACCATCTTCCAAAAAAGTAAAACAAACCCAAAACAATAACCCATACAACAACCAAGCAAACACCAAAAGAGACAATAAAAAGACAATGCTTGGACATGAAGTAAAACAAATGCATAACCACAGGATAAAACCCATCTACTAAAAACCCACTACTTTGCTATTTGTTCTTTTTTTTTTTTTTTTCCTCCAAGTGGGAAGCATGAATCCACAATTCCTATTAATGTGGGTAAACCCACTATCATGTTAAGACTAATATGCTTTGAGTTTCATATTACAAACCCACATAATACTTCACCAGAAATGTTGAAATAGCTTCTATGTGAGATAGATTCCCAAGCTGACAAGATGCTTCTGCTACCAAATCATAGTGTTGGGTATCAAAATACACTGCTACTGCTATGTCTTCTGGGACCATTTAAGTGAAACTTTTTAGCTGCAGACTGCCATGAAATGACCATTCATAGAGCCTCCTCTGCATCCTCTTCACAGGAAAAGATAATGGGTTTTCTTAGGGGGCAGACTGTCCTCTGGGTCAGGAAGCAATGAAACTACAATCCAGTATTTCCTATGTCCTAAGATACTTCCATGCTGCTCTCAGACATAGTAGCTTATCTATCTACTGTGCTGTCACTTCAGAGTAAGCACTAAGTTACAGTGGATAGCACAGCTACTCCTGTAGCTGAAACTGATCACAACAATCAGTGGTGACTGACAGATAATGTGGAAAGACATTTAATAGAAGAATTAAGAGTTATTCAGAAGGACTGCTAAACCACCTCACCTATAATTCTGCAAAGTGACCAGGGAGCAAGGGAGAGTAAGGAAATAAAAAAAATAATTAAGGCTCAATTCTGTCAGCTAAGGAAATTCATCAGAATGGCTGCAACAGGAACCTGTATCCCTTCGTCAACAGAAACATTACTTGCATACAGGAAAAACAGGCTAGCTAGCTACCTTCCTTTTTCAACCTAATACAAAATACAAATACAAAAAAACACCAATACAAAAGTTAGAATATAACATCATCTTTCTAGAAGTACTCCTGAGAAGATTCATTTAGTATCACTAGCAAATTTCTGCAGTTTCATACTGCACACTGCCACTTTCCTAAGGGAATTTTAATGGTGCCATGCTGCCTACACAAAATTTCTAACACTGCTGCCAAGTTAAAGCCTGCCATCCTACCTTACCAACAGAACCTCAAGAATGTAATTTGGCTGTAAGTCAAACATCACTCCCGGACACTTAAAAAAAATCCACTTTGAGAATGTTACCTTGTGACCTTAACTTTCCTCAATACATAGCAAGAATGTTGAACTGTGACAACTCATTTACACTTATAACCAACAACCTACCGTATCCTAGTTACCTGATATTATCCCTCGTTCTTAGTAATTTTTATTTTCATTTAAGTCTTTCACTGCTAGAGATATGTAGAAGAAAATGCATTAATTCTATGAAATTTCAAAGTCAGGAAAACATTCATTTCTAAGTGGATACACATGCCATCTTGGCTATCTGATTCCTTTGTTGCACTCCAAAAGGTATGAATCAACTCATGATGACATACCCAGGTGAGCTTCAATTACCAAGCTCAAGCCCCAGGACAGCATAGATAGAAAGGCAAGATCTCTTTTAATCAAGCACTATGTGCATCGTATACTGTAGGAACATCAGAAGTGAGATACTTTAAATAAGTTCTTGATCATAAAAAGAAAGTGAAATTCAGTACTCTTAGCTGCTATGAAACAGGGATCTCACCTGGTCTTCTGCCCGCACTGTCAACGTATCTTGGTTCAAAAGATGTGTCACACGCTTAACATCAAGCTGGAGAAACTCATCTGTCTTGTAAACTTCAGTGAAATGCTGATGAATAAAGTCATCTGCAGTGGCTTTCAGTTCTGGACAGTCTAGGCATTCTGCTAACACACTTATACCTATTAGAATAAAAGCACTGTAATTTCAGAAATACTTGCAATCCCAGTTTAATATTTATTACCATGTCTTTTTTCTTTAAAACACATGCTGTCATAACTCACCTGCAACTCAAGACAAACTATTATAAGCAGATGATGTTGATCCCTCACCCTACCAAACTAATGGGAGAGTCAGACCTGCAGCACTTGCTGTATTCACTATCTCTCCAATACTATTTCTTCACCATTTCTTTCCCCATTAAGAAGCAGATAACAGCACTGTAACCAGGTCTGAGCCAATAATGAAATCTAACCAGAACAACTTGAGAAACTGGATTCAAGTTTTATGACCTCCCCTGAGCTGCTCATGCAGCAGTCACCAACCCACCCAAATTCCCTTCAACAGTCACAGTGAACTGGGACTCTTCTATACAGGTAACACAGCTGGCTGCAGATGAACATATGAAAGTCAAGTTGATGCTGCTGCAAGGGCAGAAAGTTGGCAAAAAGGTACAAATAGCAACTGGTACTGAGAAGCACCATTTCCAACCTTCCCATTAGAAACCAGATAAGCACAGAGTTTCTCAGCAGCAAGTTTTGCTCATCATGCTATGTCTTCCTCCTGTGAAGAAGGTGGCAAGTGGTATAGAAGCAACTCATCAACTCATGGGCTGCAATTAGCCCAAGCTGCTTTGAGTAGCAAAATGCAAACTAGGAAGATAAAAATCTGAGTGTATGACCTCTTGATAAAATTTCAAGAGATTCAAAATAAGACATGGTTTCTTCCAAATACACTTTTTAAATGAACTGTGGACTTCCCCATGAGTCTGCACAGAACACATTTCAACATGCCTTGAGTAAAAACCTATTTAATCTATCTCCATTTTTGCTGTAAACTAGCAATAAAGTATGCAAGTGTTAGAGGTCATAATTAATCTTTTAGTTAACAAAAAACACAGAGAAGAGAATATGCCTCAAAGCAAACATAAGTGGCATTTTCCCTACAAAGTAATGTCTTTCTTCCAGCAGTTGTTTCAGAGCCACAGACACACTGCATCGGTGTCAGGTGAATCCCTGTAATTGACAAACTCTGCAAAACATTTCTATTGGTATTATAAACATCTATACCATGATTAAGATGTTACTAGGAGAATTGTCATGACAAATGACAATAAAAACCCTATAAACAAGTTTATCTTTAATCTCTGATTAATTAAAGTGCACTAAATCTTATGCCTGAAAACACATTTAGTTCTACTTGTTTAATATTTCTGTAACACTGAGTTCACATTAGGGCTACAGAACATATGAAATATCAAATCTTCCCAGAGGATATTCAATATCAAACCTGCCCAGATTATATTAATGGATTTCAGTCAAAATAAAAAGCAACTAAAACCAAAACTAACTTACAGTTATTCTGTTCACACTTTTACAAGATATGCTAGTTTTGTAGAAATTACAACTCTGTCTGTCTCCAAGCACAGTAACAACTAACTGAAATCCCCATCTTACTAAACAGCTGAGGTTCTCTAACAAATAAGAGCCCCCAGGGTGTTGTCAAGCTGGGATGAGAGCTAGCACTGTCAGAGGCCCCTGATAACAGCAAGACAACTGCCAAATGGTTTTATCTATGGCAAAGGACAATAACTCATATTCAGAGCAAAATAATTTTTACATGCTTGGATTTAGTCAAATACTACTCTGTTTTAGACAAGAGTATCTTTTTCAGAAACAGCAAAATAAAATTAAAAAAATAGCAATTTTAAGTCTGCATTTCTCTTACCAAGACAATTGGAAGCATCAACTTGTTCCTTTAAAAAATCCACACACATTTTTTTGACAGGTTCAATTTGATACTGGTTTGCTGCATCTAGTAGCGACTGGACATTATTGCTGTTCACTGAGATTCTGCAAAACAGAAGGTGTAAAATTAGCATCATTCAAATTACCTCCCTTGTTTTAGTAAAAACAACCAACATACACCAATTTGTGTAAACATCAGGATTACTTCCCTGCTGTTTGCCCAACAATCTTTCACACACAGCCTAAAGACAATACCTTCCTCAATGATCTTTCCAAACTGCTTTCATTTGCTCTACAGAGGAAGGGAAAAGAGTAAACAGACCTGGATTCTGAAGAACAAGCCTGCACCATTGCTTTGACTGGTGTAACTGGCCACTTTCACAAAACAGAAAATGAACAGAACCTTTTTCCTGACATGTCTCTTATTCCCAAACAGCCATCAGCAAAGTCTGTCTAAACTCACTGTCAAAGCTGCTTTGGCTGATTTGCCCCAAGTGCGCAAGCAGAACCGCCAGCTTGGCAGTGCTTCAACAGAAGGTCACAGAGCCCACAGACATGAGCTTGGGCTCCAGGGGAGGAAATCATATGGCTGGGGTGCTGACACTGTCTCTCACCACTGATGGGGTATACAAGATTCCTCTCAGAGAGGAAAGCCTTCCTAAGGAGAGTTAATCCCATTAATACAAAAATGAAAGGCCTGCCATCCATCCACCATGAGAGCTAATCAAGCAGTACTGTTTGCAATCCTAGTCATCTACACATGCAAGCTGTAAAAAAACACACCAAAACAAGCACATGGGCAACCTGAGACAGGAGGGAAATGCTGTTCAAAGAATAGTTATTCACCCTGCCTGTCCTGAGATTAAGGTATAACTCCTGGAAATGGTTCTGTGCTACTATGGCCATACAGAGAAATCCTGCTGGTACCAGTAACAGCCTGAATTTCAGAACAATGGAAATACCATTTGACTCCAACACTGAAGTAAAAAGCTTGAAGTGCTTCTAATTACTTTCTGGAGACAACTACCACTCTTCAGTCTGCTTCCTACCAACTAAATAAAAAGGAAAAGATCATATAGAAGGCGTAGTCACATCAGGCTCTAAACAAAGTAACGAATTGCAATGGTAACAAAACCGATTAAACACAAAAGCATTAAGATTTCATCATTTATAATTGGCAGGTTTCCTGGAAAAATCGTCAGCTTTGAGTAACAAAACTACCTTGCCGTATAAGCAAACTCCACAAGCTGTTCAATAATGTCAGGTTCTGCATCTTTTAGCTCCACTTCAAAGGACTTTGATTCAAGCATATTTGCTGCAAAAATATTAAAAGACAAACAACGTCAATAAGCGACTAAAGTTATTGTACATCTTGCAAAGAGTAGAAAATAAAGTGATTATATCAAGTGGGAACTTTCTAAAAGCTGCACGCAGGTGATTGCTGTTTTCCCAGGATTATTAACACAAGTCAGGAAAGCTAGGACAAACAAGACAACCAGTGTGTGTGCGTGCTTTTCTTATGTAAACTATTATAAACTGTATTAAACAGAAAAGGTCACAGATGCTGTTGACTGGAGTGCAGACTGTCAAGTTAGCATTACCAAAACCAGGAAGCCCATGCTGCACTGTCAAAAGCTATTTCCACACTCAAGCTGGCAACAATAGAGACAGCTCAGAGCTCCCCACATCCAGACACAGCACTACGTTTGCACACAGAGTTACAAGCTGACCATTAGAAGGCATGGTTATTTCACTTCTACTTGACTTTGATGTGTTTTATAGCACTGTAATTTTACAACTCATGGGTAAAGCATAAAAAAAAAAAAAAGATAGTACATAGTTTAATCTGTAAAGACAGTAAAAATGCAAGAACACTTATGCTTCTGAAAGCCTGTTTCATATATGCCTAATGGTGGAAAGCAATGGGGCAGACAAATTCTGTTGTGAGAGCAAAAACTCCCAATTTTCAGGTTTAGGGAAGGAGACAGGGCAACTGACTCTAGTACAGTTTATGGGCTCCAACTTATAAGAGAGCTACATATGATGCAGCATTTGACTTGATCAAAACTAGGATTAAAGGGCAACTGAAGGGAAGGGTGAACAGAGATGAATGGAAGGAAGACACAAAATGAGGAAAACTTCACTTATCCCTGAAATTAATCACTTTAATAAAGGAAACAGCTTAAGTCTAACAAGGTATCATCACAAAAGCTTAGAATCCATCAATTGTGAAAAGACTTACTAGTAAACATCAAGTTAAAAAAATGACTGGCTGATGCAAGCACAACACGGTGAGCTGGGATCTTTCTTTCTTGAACCATAAGAATGACATCACACAGAGTTTTCTAAATCAAAGGAAAAAAACAAGAAACCCACAAAGATCAGCATTTTTTGAAAAATTTCTTAACTTTTCTTTAGACATTGTTCTTCTTAATTCACACAATTCAGGAGCATCATGTAATAAAAATACTTTCTGAAAGTCAAAGTTAAGCTCAGTAACCTAGAGAACTAGCAAAGTTCAGTTTACTCTTAACATATGAACTTTGATTAAAGTTTTTCCCATGGCATTTACATCAGCCCCCAATAGCGTAGGCTCTGCAGCATCTAGCAGGGGATGCGTTTACATGACACCCTTTTCATCCATCAGTGGCTCTCTCTTCTACTCAGCCGTTGTTTTCCAAAACACCTCACAGGAATCTCGCATCTGAAGACTGCCATCATATTGCCTGTTAGAATATAATGAAAGTTTGGCAAGAAGGATTGTAAACATGCTCACGAGATTTGCACCTGGGGTGTCCAGAAAGACATACATCATACTACTAATTGTTGTGTAGCCTTGTGTGTTTGACAAGTGGGACATGTGCCTTTAGATAACAGGCCTGCAGTAAGACTCAGAGGCACCCTAATCAAACATGCTTGAGATTCCTGCCCTGCTGCAAGGAAGACCAAAGCACAGTAGAAAACTATGCCTGCAAAAAATCCTCATACAGGTGAAAGCAGAAGGTTCAAAATCTCTCACTCTCTCAAGCAAGGACCGAGCCTGCATTTCTACTTGTGTGCCTCTGCCCTGGAGGCTGTTTCAGGAATCCCCAAGTTCATGGTGGCAGTGGGTATAAATTTACCCTTTGCATTTCATCTGTGGTTTTATGGTTGTTCCTGTGTCCTGCCTGTGTCAGCTCACACATTGTGCAACTGGTATGAAAAGCAATAAACAAGTTCAAAGCATTCAGTGAAGCATTTTTCAGTTAATGTATCCCAAAAATACCAATTCTACCGAACAGTTTGAGTGGTAACACCTGATAAGCAACTAATCAAGTTGCAGACAACGAAAAAAATTTTCATTTGTTTGCTATTTTTTTAATATGTAAACAGTCAGTTTCTTCCCTACATGCCAAGTGTCATACACCAGAAGAAAATAAAGTGACAGAACTTATAAAAGCTGTCAGGAGACCCGAGATGAGAGCAAGAGATTGGGGTATAAACACATAATTTGAATAGATTCTCAAATGGTATCCTAAGAACATACTGGCTGAAATAAATGCACACCATACTACAGTCAACTATAACATCCTCTTTATTGAGAAACACTGCTTCCTAAAAACAGGTATTAATTTTCAGCTACTACCATAAGTTAAAGGAATTACTTGCAGAAACACCTACCTACACCTATCCCAATACTAACCCCAGAAAAGAGCATTTCTACTGTGGGAAGCACATACTTGTTTGAACAATGTGAGAATGTTTCCGACATACAGACAGTTATCATCTAGGGCACACCTAAGAAGGCTGACAATCCATATATGCAGCTCCTTCAAATAAACTTGTTTTAGTTTCTTGTAGGACACTCGGAAGCACATTATTGGACACAATATAAATAATTCATTTTAAAATAATGTTTTAATTAGAAGATGGAGGCTGACGTAAAGGTTCCTTAGAAGATCTGTAGTTTGAAACCACTTAGGATTGAAACAAGAGGGAGACCATTTGATAGAAGTTTCAGAGGAAATCCTTCAAAGCTGAAATTCCTAGCACAACCAGTTCAAAAAAAACATCAGCAACTAGCAGTACAAGATACCACAAAATTTTGTGGCCAAGTTTTGCTAAGACTTGCAACTGTTGCTTGAACTCCAGACTGTATAACTAAGATACATTCTGTGCCTCAGCTCAGCATTTGAAGCACCTCGGATATTTTAAGGCCTCTCTGGATGCCTGAAGAAATACTGGTCAACCAAAACAGACCATTTTAATTTCTTCCCTGGGATGCTTCTGGGTGTGTCTGCTCCATTTCAGCTAATGCTCTTCTGAGGACTTCTGCACTTCTTTCCAGAAGGCCCCTTGGTGTTACTGAGTCACCTCAATGAGGCAACAGATGACCAAGGTTACATCAACCAGAGGACACACCTGAGCGTGAACTTGCATTAGGCATCTTCCACTGAACAGGTTCAGCAACACGTTGCAACTCTGCCCCAGCCAGCTTCATTCTCAATTACTTCACTCTTAGCTGATCTGCACTCAGCTGCAAGGTTGCAAGAAAGGATTTATGCACATGCTGCCAAACAGCTCTACAATCCACCAAGATGTAGACTTTCTCACCTTGAAGATGAGCAAGACATCCTCCATGCATTAAACATACCTGCCCCCAACATCTTACCAATACTAAGTGCAGGCATGTTCATAGTTTAGTCTGAACTCTCATACTCATGAAGACTGCCTCTAGATCCCAGCTCACATAAAAAACCAGCCTCTTTAAAATTAGATATACTTTCCAACTGGCTCATTTTCCTGCAGCATTAAACTACTGCATTTAAATAGCTAGCAGTCCACATGCATGCTGTTATTTCCATCACAGGAAATTTTAAAGTTGTATTATATTTAGATATTATAAATACAGCATAGCCCTTGACTTACCAAAATACAAGAAGAAAGAGCTGCCTGTAAATCCTCTTAAGCTTTAGCACAACTAATCAACTAAATTAGTACATTTTCCTCTAGCTCCTGCCAACTTCTTAATTTTATCCTATGTAATCATACCCTCCCTGCTCCCCCCATAATAGTTAACCTCCTCTTACAAACAACTCCTAAAAGAATTATGAGTGTCATGAAGTATGCAAGGATTTCTGGAGCAGTCGGCACTGGGTGGGATATGCAAAGCCACCACCTGAGGTCAGATTACAAGTTTCCAGGAACCTCTGACAGCAGCCAAAATTTGGAGTTGCACCTCCCAGGGCGTAACAGATTTTGAAATTTGAATTGGAAGTACATACAGACTTCACAGCACTTAATGAACCTCTCTCTTCCTGTTTAGAGTAATTCATAGCTAGATAAAGCTGGCACTCTGCTCTACTGAAAGATGAGGTACTTACAAGGAACATGGTGCCACGTACCAGAGTAGTGACACTGTAAAGCACTGTGATTTCCCTGTGCTAGTGAGTGTATAAGTATCTAAAAGTGTGCAGTATTTCCTCTACCTGCTTACAAAGCATAGCAGCATCTGATATCCCCTTGTCAAGGGTAACAGAGGTATGAGCTAACCAGTGGTAAACTGAATTAAGAACTGAGCTTCAGCTTGGAGTATGTTTACCCAGTAAGAACAGAAACAAAATCTGCATCAAAAAGGTTGATCAGAGGCTTTAAGTCTCAACTCCCCTACCAGAAATGATTGAAACCAATTTGTTTTGTCGTACGTAGGAGCTTAGTTGCGTGAAATGGTTTATGCAAACCACACGTATCAGTGAAAGAACAGGGCTGAAGTGCTGGAGTGCAGAATCAACACTGTGATAGGACTTGCTAGGCCAGGACCCAGACTGCTGATAAACACATCATTACAAGCTGAACCAGGCCCTTGGCAAGACTCATACTGGGTGACAAGCAGCTAAACCCTAGAAAACACAACACATAACCGTGCCAAGTACGAAGCCCTCAAACTGTTCTCAAACAGCTGGCTTCAAAATTGGCTTTAATTCTGGCTCCACGTTCCACATAATTGTTTGTAAATCAACCATAGTACCACAATCAAGCCAGCTCCTCCTCCTCCTCCAAGAAAGATTTCTTCATGTGTACAGAGTTGTAAAGATCATCCTTCTGCTCTTGCACCAGAAGTCTGAGCTCTTTTTGTAATTTATTTTTTTTTTAAAAAAGAGCATTTCTTTCAGTTTGAAAGCTCAACTGAAATCCACTTATATAGTTATTATTTGTTTACCACTCTTATTCTATTAGTAAACAGAAGACTCAGCTTCCCAGATCAATTAAGACTACTGATCTAGGAACCTCATGTGCCAAAAAGGCCAGAATTTGTGAAGATGTGGCCTCCAGCCCCCTACACTGCCACTGGCTTCTCAGTGAGACAGCCACACACCCTCAGC